CAAGATCCCGAGAGGAGAATGGAGGAGAAGGGATTGCGGCGTGACCATCCCCCCTGGGGGGTGATTTCTTGCTTTCTGTCTCTCTGTCTCTCTCTGTGTGGCGAGCACACGCACCCTATAGCGAAAACCTCTCCAAAAAAAAAAAAGTTCACTTCTCAAAGTATAAAATAAATATATATGAGTCTATACCGATACAAGTAACTGATTGAAATAAAGAAATACATGACAGAGAAATGTATGTCCGTGCATTAGAATGCCAGATTATGGGGACCGGCAAGAGGCGTGGGGGTTAAGGCGCTGGACACTCCCACATGGCCGACCTGCTGGCTTGCTTCCTTGCTTTCTCTCTCTCTTTTTCTCTATGTGTGTCTCCCTCTGGTCAAATTAAAATAAGTAAATGAATAAAATAAAATAAAATAAAATAAAATAAAATAAAATAAAATAAAATCCAAATTGTAGCCCTAGTGTTTAACAGAGCAGAATCCCACATAGCTGATCCCAGTTCAGAAACACCCCAGAGTGTGCGTGTTTGAATACCACACTGCTGGGCTAGCCTGTGGCCTGGTGGTTAAGGCAGCTGAATCCCACATGGCTGACCACACAGTTTGAGTCCTGGACCTGGCAGCTTGAGAAACACATGAGCATGTGTGCCCCTAATCCCGACAGGTGGACAGATGGAGGAGAAGAAATTGCAGCATGGCCATGCTCCATGGTTGGGAGGTGGTGTTCTCCTTCTGCCTCCCTTTACTGTGTTTTGAACTTTCCATCTCTCTGTCTCTTTGTGTTTCTCTGGTAAGTGCACATGCCCTTTGGCAATTAAAAAAAAATTCAGGTCCAGCAGATGGCGTGGTGCTTAAGGGCTCTGGACTCCCACATGGCCAACTGTGGTTCGAGTCCCAGACCTGGAGGCTTCTTTCTCACTTTCCCTCTCTCTCTCTCTCATGTCTCCCTCTGTAAATATTAAAATAATAATAAATAAAATTAAATGAAATATTTTTAAATTATTTAATTTTATTAAGTTTATCCATGTATTTATTATTTTTTAAATCATTCGCTTAATTTTATTAAATTTATTCATTCACTTATTTTAATTTGACCAGAGAGAGAGAGAGAGAAAGAGAGAGAGAGGAAGCAAGAAAGCAAGCCACCAGGTCTTGGACTTGAACCATGGTCAGCCATGTGGGAGTGTCCAGTGCCTTAACCACCATGCCACCTGCTATCCCAAATGAAATAATTCTTAAAAACTTTATTTTCTTTTCTTCTTTCTTTCTTTCTTTCTTTCTTTCTTTCTTTCTTTCTTTCTTTCTTTCTTTCTTTCTTTCTTTCGTTCTTTCCTTTTTTTTGCTGTAGTGTGTGTGTGCTTGCCAGAGAGAGCCAGAAAGAAAGAGAGAGGGAAAGTGAGAAATCATCTCTCAGGGGAGTGGTCACTCTGCACCCCCTTCTCTTCCATTCCCTTCTCGGGGTTTTGGGAATGTACACACACGTGCCTAGTGTATTTTCCAAGCTGCGGGATCTAGAACTTGAACCACACAGGAGGCCATGTGGGATCCAGCCACCTTAACCACAATGCCACTTGGCTGGCCTTGGCTTTTTTTTTTTTTTAATAAAAAGACACTGGACCAGCACATGGTGTAGCAGTTGCGTTGCTGGACTTCCACATGGCCGACCACAGGTCACATCCCAGACCTGGTGGCTTAACAATCATGCCAGGCATGTGTGCACGAGTGCCCAAGATCCCAGAAAGAGAATGGAGGAGAATGTGGTGTGGCCATCTCCCCTGGGGGGTGATTTCTCACTTTCTCTCTCACTGTCTCTGTCTCCTTCTCACTCTGGTGAACACACACACCCTAAGGCAAAAAACTTCTAAAAAAAAATAAAAGAAAATGACGCTGAGTGCATGTGCATCCATACCCAAAATTTCACTGCAAAGGAGGAGAGAGGGCAGTGTGATCGCACCCCTTTGAGGGGTGCTTTCTCCCTCTTCCTCTCTCTCTTTGTCTTTATCTGGCAAGTGTACTCACTCTCTGGCAAAAAAAAAAAAAAAGAAGCCAAGTATTTTATGTAAGTAATCTGCTCTCAAGGAGGTGGAGCATTACTCCTTACTCTAAGTGTGGGCTGTGCGCAGTTACCTCCAAAGAGTTCAGCGGAGAAAAACAAGGGGAGTGGTGAGAGTGATTACATAGTAGAAAACCTGAAAACGCCACCTCAGCCAGGTGATCAAGGTCAACTCAACAGTGATAAGTCATGTTGCTAGCATGTACCCTTGATATGTAATGAAAATGAAACTTTACCTCTGTGAACTTCCTCCCAAAACCTGTAACCCCTAATCAAGAAAAAAAATCAGACAAATCTCACTAGAGTGACATGCGACGTAATACTTGACTAGTGCTCTTCAAATATGTTGAGCTCATCAAAATCAAAGAAAGTCTGAGAAACTGTCGTAGCCAAGAGAAGCCTAAGGAGACGTGACAACTATGTGTAATCCTAGATAGGTTTCTGGAAGAGAAAAGCAAAGAAAGATACGAACAAAGAAAATCTGAGTTAAGTATGAATTTTAGCTAAAAATGAGATTTTTTAAAAAACAGTTATTTATTTAGTTTTATTTATTCATTTATTTACTTTAATTTGACCAGAGAGAGACAGAGAGAGAGAAAAAAAAGTGAGAAGGTAAGCCACCAGATCTAGGACTCGAACTGTGGTCAGCCATATGGGAGTGTCCAGCGCCTTAACCACCATGCCACCTGCTAGTCCCCAATAATGAGATTTTTTAAAAGAAAGAATTATTTAATTTAATTTAATTTATTTATTTTAATTTGACCAGAGAAGGACAGAGTGAGAGCAGAGTGAGAGGGAGAGAAAGTGAGAAAGCAAGCTGCCAGGTCCAAAATTCAAACCATGATCAGCCGTGTGGGAGTCTAGTACCTTAACTATCACACCACTTGCTGGCCCCAATAATGAGATATTAATATAAGTTTGCTAATTACAACAAATGTGCTATACTAATGTAAAATGGTAAAAATAGGGGAAGTTGGGTATGGGCTATATGGGAACTCTAAAATCATTTTTACAATTTTTCTGTAAATCTAAAAGTGATCTAGAAAAGTTTGTTCCAAAAAGTGTTTGAGTAACTCCCAGAAAGGCAAGAAAAAGAAAACAGAGAAAAAATAGAAAAACAAAAACTAAATGGTAACCTTAAGCCCTAACATGCCAATAATTACATTAAATGTAAATGG